CCGATAATTTTACAATAAAACAGCAATCCTGCAATTTTTACGATGTGAAAAGCGTTGAAGTGAGATTTGCAGCCAATTCGCACAGACACACTCTGATTATAAGTAGCCTACGGTAGAGAGAAATAGTCAATTGAGAAGTGGATAGACCTAGTCAACGATACCACCTTCCATAGCATACCTGCCTCTTCCATAATTATTATCACTACAATACAACTACTATACACAATTTCCAGTAGATCTGAATAGAAACGGCCAAAAATAAAACGATAATATCCAATAAAATTCACAGTACACATAAATCGTCACACCTATCCTTTTATATCAATTTCACTGCATTAATTGCTAAATAAATAAGTGTAAACAAAGAAAAGTAAAAACAATAACAGTTTGTTTTGAAACAGCTGTTTGGTTCAAATAACATTCATTTGAAAAAAATAAGTGGTCACATGTAGCAGGAATATAATAAGTAAACACGCTAGTAAAGCTAATGACGTAATTGTCAATGTTTATTATCCACACCGTTATCAGTTCTATCCTTGATAATTACCCACCCTCATTGAATAAACGTACATCGTAATTTCCCATATTAGTTAATTTAAACTACAATATATTCATAGTTGAAATAAAAGTGATATTTTCACGTTTGGGGGCGCTGATATAGGTGCCCCTAAACGTAACCACAACTGAACACGATTTCATAAAAGGATGGTTTGTCTAATTGCAGTATCCTAGGCCAGTTGACGTAGTGTTCAATCTATGTCATCCATCTGTTTATCTTTGTATAAAACCCGGCTGAGGTTGTGGTAATTTAAAATCGTGATTCCTGATTATTCTTGATCTTCTTTTTATGACATCAATATTTCCCGGCCTAATCCAAACAAAGTTAAAGCAGACAAACATTAATTGTAAACAAAAAGCTACCATTAAGAATTAAGACATGTAAACATTGTTATTTTTCTAATCTTTCCTTGAAAATTGGAGCAGTAAAATAATTTGCATTTATCCTTTTTTATTAAGACTCGTGTACAGAGCCTCGATTTGTAACTGTGGTATAATTAATTTTGGTTAAAACTATGGTTTAAACTGATGTCTAATTATCCCTACTAATCTTACTTATTTTCTATAATCAATGACAAAATAAGAGTAAATAAAATAACCTCATAGTTCCATAGTTTATATTTAACCAGCTGTTAGTTAAAACAAATTATATTGCTCTAAAACAAATCGAAGATTACAAAGATTGATTTAAAAAATAATTTGAACATCCTAGTATTTTACTATGTATATTTAATTAATCTGTCATCCTCTTACAGAAGAACTGAACGTACCAATGATTAGCATTACACATAGTATAAATAGTACACCCTAAGTATGTCTTTACATTTTTATCCAAATGCTGAATTTGTGACACAAAAGCTGAATGTTTACAGCTGTTATGTTAAGCAAATTATTTTATGCCAAAAGCTAGTTTAGAATCTTAGCGTCGGCTGCTGGACTTAAAAAAAATTAAAACTTAATTTAAAAAAAACTGGGACCCTAAACTAAAATTATGGCTTCGACATTCCCTAGTTCTCAAAATTATCTTTCTCGCAACACAAAAATAATGAAAATCCGTCGAGTGGTTGATTCAGAATCGTGAAATAAAAAAACAATATTATAGATGGTACAGTTTAAGCACATAACATTAGAATCACACATTAAACATAAGGAACACACTTTAAACATAAATGCAAATTGTTAACAACAACATTTAATCAAAGAAAAATTAATTAGATAACAATATAACAATAAGCTGTTGAATTATTAACACATGTTTCGTATGATTAGATTATGCATTTATAAAATGTATTTGCATGAAATATTTTCTGGCTGAATAAAGTTCTTATTCTTATTCTTATTCTTATTCATACTGGTAAACCAATTATTGCCATCTATAAAAATAATTGGTTTTTATTTTCCGAGTCGGGTTAGCTTTTCTACCCGACCGATTTTCATAATTTTGGCCTTAAACTAAAGGCGGCGTGCGGTGTGGACGTACCGCAGATTTGCCATCAAGCATCGGCATTCATTTTGACGTATATTTTGAGTTATGCACAAACTGCCTCCCTGTACAAAGTGTACATTTCTTATGGGAGTTAAATTTAGTTTTTTTCAAGTTCAATGTTTCGCAGGCAGGCGATGGTTTAGGCTACAGGAGGGCTCTTCTACCTGCCCGATTTTCATAATTTTTGTCTTAAAATAAAGCTATGCAAGCACATATTTGTCATCAAGCATCATCATTAATTTATCTAATGTATTACTCAACTAAATATTTTTTTCTCTTCAATTAAAGATGTATTCCAGCAGTTCTAATTACATTATACATTTTGGTGTAAAAAACTTAGTGAAATACCAGCTTTCATTTGAGCTATTGATTATTAAGATCGGACTACCTAAAGCACACTGCTGAATTACGAATCAACAATAAATAATATCGTTTCAGTACCTATCTGCAATCAATGATACATAACTCTATTTTTATTTAAGTTATTTTATATGTCTTGGTCTTAAAATACTTCAAAAGCTTTCACTTGAGATATTGATAGTTTTAATCAGTTAAGTTCAAGATACTGTATCGCTCAATCAGAAAATATAAATTTGATTATATCTTGGATATGGAATTTAGTTTTAGATATATTTACTTAATTCTAATTACGTTATTCTATTTGTTTTGACCTAAGAACCTTCATTGAAATATCAGCTTCCATTTCATTAAAGCACGCAGATAAATCACAACCAACACAAATTGTTCAAAAAATGGAGTTATTTATCATCGATTTATAGCCAAACGATCTTCCTTGCAACCTCAACAGTACTTTCATAATTATTTGCAAATCTTCACAAATTAGGCTATCCAATGACCTATTAATTAATAAAATCGGTTCAGTAGAACTGTAGATTTAATTGTACAAAGTTTAACAACAACATCTTTAATTCAGTATTTTCTCACTACTATAAACCTGGAGGTTGCTTAACGTTTTTGCAAATAGCTTTGAAACGGTGAGGAAATCGACCAAAGTGGAAGGTGATATTCTGAAAGAGAATTAAATTTCCTACTAATTACTATCATGAATTTCTTGAATATACTCAATAAAGGCAGCCTAAAGTTGGCTACAAATATAAAATTGAAAATATAAACCTGGAATAAAAGGAGTTTTAAATGTATTATCGATGTGTTTCACAAGCTAGGGCTCAACCCGGCTTGGTACTTCGAAGACACTTTCTACACTTAGTAAACCCGCAGATCATGGCCTTAGGCCAATAATCCGTCTCAAAGACGTGAGGAAATGCGGTGTGAGTAATATAAACCGACAACTTGAGGTTAAAACTCATTGTCGTGTGAAACAAACACAACATAACCTACAGTCAACACAACAACAACAAGTTTGAGTGTATGACTATGACTATTTAGCGGCTGCAGACAACGGCGGCCGGCTAGTTTTTTTTTGGGTTGGCAAACGCCAGTCTAGGCGCGCGGTGTCACTTTTTAGATGTTGACTCTACTTGGACAGTTGAAAACTCAGACACTTGATATTTTGATACTTTTTTAATAATTAAATAAACTCGGACAAATGAAAACTCGGACAGTTGATTTATTTAAATATTATTAGTTATTTATCAAAACTCGGACAACAGATTTTTCTAATATTTTGTAATTTTTAACAAACTCGGACAGTTGAAAACTCGGACAAATGATGTGATCCCTTTGATGCGTATAAAATTTACTAGAGCGGAAGAATGTGGTGATATTCTAAGTACTGTACAAAATGTCAGCTGACATTCTCAATGTTTTAGTCAGATTTGTTTATTTATTCTGTTTAATTCTTGTATTCAGTTTTGCTTTATAAAACCTAAGTTTTATTCTCTAAAGGTTTATTACAGTATGGTCGCCCTTTCATTGAAAAGTATTAAAGTAAAGTATTAAAATGTATTGTTTTGCCTTTCTGGTGTTTTTATTCTGGTCATAAAAGTCATAAAGGAATAAAAGTGATAAAACTTAAATGATATAAACTACTGACTCAACGAGTTCTTGGAAGTACTTCACTTGCCCACAAAAATTATTGTCGTAGTAAAATATTAATTGTTTTGGGGCTGACCCCTAGTAAATTTTGATGATTTGACGTGTTGCAAGCTGTGACGATGTTGCATTGCAAAGAAACATATCAGCTTTGAAATTTGAATGAATAATTGATGTTAGACACAAATTTGGACTACTCCTGCATTCGCTCAATACCTTGTCGATTTTAATCACTCAATGAGTGGTATTAGGACCGGCTGTTGGAAATTCTACATTATTGCTGGAAAAGTAACAAATTGGACACACTGGAGGAGTATGAAATATATAAAATGAACAAAGACAAAGAAATAGTAGTCCAGGGGCTTAATAATCTATGTTCTTCTAGACTATGTACACTACAACCATGTGTAGTGTTATAGATAAAACACACTCCCTAGTAGATTTCTCATCCTTATGGAACAGCTGAAGACAATTTTATTGTTAGTTCTGTACGGTGTACTGTAGCGGTTGTGTTTTGTTTACAATTTGTTTCTTGTTATTTCAGTCATTTGAAACCGCGTTTAACCAAATAATACGATCCAGTCATAAACAATAACTCGTCCCCTAGTTATAAAACCAAACAGTAAAGCACAAATCAAGAAATTAACCCTAAAATAATAGAAACTAAATTTCATAACACTAGCGCCCAGTGTCACAGTTCACAGCACATGAACTAGTCACAAGAAACAAGCTTCAAAATTTACATTGTGTTGAGAAGTCTACTTGTGTTGGTTAGTCTATGGTAGTGTTTGACAAAAATTCTGGACAACTTCCTAGTTGTCCAGCTGATCAAATTCCTTTACTAAAATCCAGACATTAGTTATTGATAATTAATAGGCATTGAATTAATTAGGCATTTGTTGTAAATTAATTGAATCCTTGACTTATTACTCTTTGTGATCAGGATACAAATGAAACAGAATCAGTCTTGAATCACTCTCCTCCTGAAAAAGTAGAAGTGAGGCCCAAAAACAGTAAAAACAAAATGTTGACAGAAGAAATGATAGAAGCTTCAGTCATCTTAGGAGATCTCAAAGGTAAAGTATGATTAAAATACACGTTTTTGCAAGGAAATTCACTTTCAATTTTGCCACTTTTTACATTGTAGCTTTCAGCTTTGTCATATACAGGGTGTTCAAAAAAGGTGGGGACATATTTTACCTAGTGATTCCTTGGGTCAAAATAAAGAGAAAATGAAGAATAACATTTTTTCCAAAATCGCTTCGTTAACCAGATATCCGCCATTTTGTATTTTTTACATAAACATTTTCCCCTTTTAATATTTTCAACCGATCTTTATGAAACTTTGTATGTATGTTAAGGTAGACGAGACCCGTGTCATAAAAAAAGTTCATCTTGATTCATTTTAAAATTTCAAAATGGCGGCCATTTAAAACTTGTAAACTCAAATTACTCGAAAATGACTGGTTTTATGAAAAAATGCCACATATGATTTTATTTAGCATTTTTAATCACCTATCAAACGGTACCAAGTTCAAAAAGATCGAATAAGAAATAGCTGAAATATTACGATTTTTAGTTGTAAAATGGAGTAAACCTGACTAGCTTCTGCCATATCCTACCCCATTTTACAACTAAAAATCGTAATATTTCAGCTATTTCTTATTCGACCTTTTTGAACTTGGTATAGTTTGATAGGGAATCAAAACTGCTAAATAAAAGTGTTCTTGACATTTTTCAGGGTGACCACTCAACCGGGAAATCGGGAAAACCGGGATTTAGCCGGGAATTTTAGTGATCGGGAAAAAACCGGGAATTAGCCGGGAATCCAGAGTAAAAACCTGGAAATATTTAATTTATTGTGTATCAGTATTTTTCTTCGACAATTAAACAAGAAATGTACCCCAAATGCTACGATGAACAAGCAAACACGCAGTTGCAGCACAATAACACATAAGCGACGTGTCTGACACGGTTGCTATGCAAGATTTGCGACCTTGATTTACTCTTCACTCTTCAATATTAGGAATGATCATCGATAGTCGATGTTTTCGAGACATCGATGTTTTGTCCAAGTATTGAGATATCGATGTACACTGGAACCCTCCAGTGTACATGGGATAAGCATCGATAGGTTTACCATCGAATATCGATAACACCATCTTTAACATCGTTGCAAAAACATGGTTATCGATGTTTTTCCGGTTTTTATCTGGTGTTTGTACTCATAAACAGCAGATGAAAAACTGGAAAAACATCGATGTTTTTGCAACGATGTTACCGATGGTGTTATCGATATTCGATGGTAAACATCGATGGTTGACCTATCGATGCTCATCCCTATTCAACATGTACATCTGCCTCCAGTTACCAACTACTGAGTACTGATCGCCTATATTTTGGCGTGTGACGTGCGGTCGGTTGTTCCCGCCTGCCCTGTCCCCTCCCCCGCCTCCTAGTGTAGTGAGCGTGAGCGACAGTCTGTGTGAGTGAGACAGAGACATTTGTTGTTATGCTGGAGTCTTGACCTTCACCCCCTAACCTAAACCTCACAAGTAACAACGTGCAGTGCCAGTGCGAGTGCGGGCGCCGGGCGGTCGGTCATCGACTTCCTGATTCTGTGATTTACGACATGCGTGTCTGTAGTACTAGTTCTTACATAGTTTCAAGTTTCGTTTTTGCCGTGTTTAGCTACCAAAGGTAAGTGGTACTCATTGATGTATTTTTATTAGTAGGCCTATACATTACTTTAGATTTAGACACTGTTGTGTTGTGAAGCAAAATAATGCTAAGACACTGTTGTGTTGTGAAGCAAAAATAAAATGCTAAGAGAACTACAAATTATTGTCCATCCTATTATCCTATTATTATTTACTGAGTTTAGAAGTCTCAAGTCTTAACTCTATATTTAAAATAAAGAAGTGCTTATTGGAGTCTCATTCAACAACTCAACATTAGATTGCATTTAAGCTGCATGCTGTTATTATTTTTTTAGCGTTAGGTATTTCAATGCTGGTGTTGGTTTTAAAAACTTGTTTTCTCGCTGTCTTACTTATTTTAGATAACGAATTAAAAATTCTTCAATGCACACATTTTTTATTTTTATTAGCCTTTAGATACAAGAGTAATAAATTAATTGTAATACCTAAACAAATTAGTTTTTTACTATTGTTTATGAAATCGAATCCGTGAACCACTATTGCCTATACACAAAATAAGACTTTCCATGTAATGTTCAAATTTGAAGCAAAATTATGTGGTGCAATCTGTTGATAAGGATAGTCAATGGTTTCACTGTTTGAAGTCTACTCGACACATGTTAACATAGACGTAAAGAGTAAAAGCAGGGAACCGCTCCAGTTCTTGCCGACACGAAAATATCGTACCCTCCCGGATTTTATTGTACCCGCCCCTCTATAACTAAATAGAAGCAGGGAACCGTTCTTGTTCATTACGCCACGAAATAATCGTGCTCTTTAAATGCTGTTTGAATTCTTTCTGATTACAGTATTTATTCGCGGTTCTGTTATTTGAGAAAGATATGTCACTGTAGTAGAAGATGTAAAATTTTATTTTCATTAAAAATATTATACTCTGATGTAGAATGGTGGCCTCAATATATAGTTGATTTTTAACTGAAAGCCGCTGGAGCTCGGCCCTACCTGCGAGTGAGCCGACCCACGCACACACACACACCATCACCCAAATCGCCTAAAAGCCCCGATCCCCTCCACTACCTAGAAATATAACATATGTTGTATGATACCTCAAAGTAGCAAATCATTTTAGATATACTGTAAAATGCTTAGTGTTAGTAAATTTGTTGTTTAATTCCATGTAAAATGAGTCCAAATACGAAATTATTACAAAATGAAATAGTAGAAAAATATTCGTAACTTCTACATTTTGCAAGCAAAAAATATATTGTTTGGTATCATTTTACTTAACATTTTGAGCTGAAGCCAAAAGCATTAACCGATTCTATCAACGATAGTAAAATTAAAGAAAAATGATAGATAATTTCTTTTAGCCAGTGATGAGTCACACGACAGGTGTCTGTTCCGTCCTAATCCCTTGCGTGTGTGTGTGTGAGAGAGAGGCCTGCGTGTGTGTGAGTAGGGTCGACGACCCTTCAGCCAGCCGCGTTCCCTGAACAATCATACTACATATAAATTTGTATTCATTTTTGTAACCAACTTCAATTATTGGAGATGCATGGAACGCAATATGGTATCTCGTTACGTAATGAACTGCTTATCGCGAGCTTTAGGGGAATCCAAGTTTTTAATACCAAGTGGCTAAATAATTTTAGATACGTATTTGACGCGATTTTCTTTTTATTTCAGATAACCATGTCTCTATCAAAGCCGAGTACAACAACTTTTCGATCCTCATATATTTTGGACTTTCCCTGGGTAAAGGAAGATCCACGTTCAAATACTTCCGCATTATGTACTTGGTGCAAAACTACCATTAACATTGCTAGCATGGGAAAAACCGCCCTGAAAAGCCATTCTAAGTCAGCAAAACATTGTTTGAACGAGAAAAACCGGGAAAAATGTTTGAAAATTGGGATGTTTTTTCGAAATTCTGATGATAAACGTAATGAAGCCAGCACCTCTTCTCTCCATACGGATACAGCCACTGTTAGTGACCAAGTTACTGATCCTGGCCCTTCTACACAATCCACTGCCTTGCCACAGACCTCGCCCCACAGTACACCAGAAGATCAGCTAGCTCGAAGAAATACTCCTGCCCTAAAACATTTCTTGTTCTCAGAATCCGTTACAAAATCCGAGATATTTTGGTCTATGCAGATAGTTCTCAATCATATATCTTTCAGAACTGCAGCCAAACTAGCCGCTGGGTTTAGTAAGCAATTTCCAGATAGCGAAATAGCTGGGAAAATCAAGCTACAGAGAACTAAAATAGGGTACACCATTGTGTTTGGACTTGCACCGTACTTCCGGCGGCAGCTGGAGTCGTCATTGAAAGATGCGTCATACATTGTTGTTTGTTTTGATGAAGCGCTGAATAAAGTGTCCCAAAAACAACAAATGGACAAACACCTTAGATTTTCCAAAAAATCCCAGATTGAAACGCACTACTTTTCCTCTGTTTTCTTAGGAAATTCGAAAGCCTCTGACTTGTTGGATGCCTTGACTGGCATATTACCGAAAGATTATCTAAAAAAAGTCATTCAAGTATCAATGGATGGTCCTAACGTGAATTTGAAAATGCTAACAGAATTAGAGACCTATCTAAAAGAAATACCGGACAGTCACTTATTGCTAAACATAGGAACTTGTGGCCTTCACACATTGCACAATGCATTTAAAGTTGGAATAAATAGCACAGGATGGGAAATAATCACTTTTTTACGTGCTTTGTATAATCTATTTAAAAACTCACCTGCCAGAAGGTCTGAATATGTACGGCTATCAGGATCTAAATTGTTTCCTCTTCAATTTTGTGCAGTAAGATGGGTTGAAAGTGGACCTGTAGCAGAAAGGGCATTGAAAATCTTGCCCAACGTAATTAAGTACGTAACAGAAACGACTAAAGAACCCAATTCCTACAGCTTCAAGGTTGTGAAGGAAAAGATTAAAGATAAAATGTTGATGCCTAAACTCGCATTCTTTTCATCTATGGCCTCAATGATAGAGCCGTTTCTTCGTGAATTCCAAGGAGACCAGCCGATGGCACCTTTTTTGTACCAAGAATTAAATTCACTAGTGTTATCGTTTATGGAAAGAATTGTAAAGGAAGATGTTTTGAAAAGTGCTAAAAACAGAGCAGAAAAAATCCAGCTTACTAATGACAATCTGAAACCTGCCAAAACTATAGATATAGGCTTTGCTACACGTGATGCCCTCAGAAACTCAGGCGAAAAAACACAATTGGATGTATTAACCTTCCGAAATGAATGTAGAACGGCTATTGTAGCCATGACGAAGAAACTCATGGAAAAATCTCCACTGCATTATAGTTTGACAAAATACATTTCTTGTTTGGACCCAGGAACAATTGGTTTCGATAGAGCACTTGCTGAGGTTAGATTGACAAACTGCTTGGA